AGAGTGTAAGTGACTACAGTAGTCATTTTTTTCTGCATCTACATTTATTTTAGTTTATGAGAGGGAGGGAGGGGGGAAATTGGGGACATGGGAATGGGGTTTAGCTAAAATATAAATTAATGAAGCAAAAAGGGGCCCCACTGCACCAACTATCATATATCAGCTGTCTTAAATTATTCACTGTTTGTTCAAAGCCAAAGGTTATGTTCTTATTAGGGGTGCTTCTCTCAATACTTGTACATAAAATCAGATTCAAAGCTGTCCGAAGGCACCCTTTTAAAGCATTCCACCAGGCAGTATTCAGCTATTTAACCATAACTAGTTATTTAGGCAAAAACTGCTAGTTAGATCATTAACAAGCATTCTTTTTATATTTCTTCCAGTAAAATAAATTATTGATATCATTGCTGACTTTTATATTATGGGAGGGAAAAAAAAAAACAATAATAAAAAGGTGATAAAAGCACTGTTTCTATTTTTTTCTTTTTTTTCCAAAAAAAGAAAGTAATAAAAACTTAAATTCTTTGTACCAGTTAAAAAAAAATGTATAAAATTTACATCTGTGCAGTGGAGTTGTTAAGTTCTAGAAATACACAGCCTATGATGCTTTAGATTTAGCCTAGTAGACCAACTGTTAGAGACAGACGTATCATTTTTATGGAATTATATGATAATCATATTCAGATTTATATAAGCATTTTACAAGTATTGCAATCATTGAGTAGAGATAATCATGGTATTTTCATCAGCTTGGTACTTTTTGAAACATGACTGTGTGGTGTAAACAATCTGCAATTTTTCAAGGCATGACAACTTGCCCCTGTTTAATTTTCCAACCAAGGCCACTTTGCTAAATACTGGGCCCAAGACAGCTTTTCAACTGGGACAAAAGAGGGACCTTCTTCTGACCGAGCACTGCGTGGAGAAGGCTGCTTGTCTGGGTCTCTGGCACGTGCAGCTGAGCAAATGCCAGGGTGGCAGTTTCGAGCATAGCTGAAAAATTGCAGTTTGTCTGTGCATATGTTTGGACTCTTTCCATGTTGTCCTGTTTACAAGTTAACCTAAGTTGGGGTGTTTGTCACGGGTCTTCTTGTTTTTGTATTTAAATAAATAAAGCAGAAAACTGTCTTGCAACAGTTTTGCTGCAGATAGTTATATCCTCATGTGTAATGTGCGTGCCTACTGGCAAGCACTTTAGTAAATTATCAACTCACCGCTGTGAACCTGCCAACTTGCTATAACAACTCTGCTTTAAAAAAAGTGTTTGTGATCAGGCTTTCTCTTTGTCATCGTATGTGCATGCAATATGATCAGTTGAACAATAACCATCAATAAAGTTTCACAAGATTTGAAAACAAAGTTTCTGTAGCATTTATATCTAAGAATGAAAAATAAATTATCTTTAAAATTGAAACAGAGAGAGAAAGAGACTGTATTAACCAGTGAAAAATGGGGCAGTAACATGTATTTATACGAGTGAGGGAATGAACTAAAATTTATTAAGAGTTCAAACCCCACATTTATTATCTAAGATATACGAGACAAGCCTCCTATTTAAAGGAAAAAAAAAAAAAAGTATATTTCATTAAAACAGGAAGATAAAGCACCTTGAAAAATGTTTACCAAGTGTTAGGCTTCCAGTTCAAAATGTAGATGATACATCTTTTGGAATTGCACACACAAAGTGTCTAATGTGGAGAATAATAGAATTTATTTGCAATTTTAATTTTCATGAGATGGCTTTACAACTCCCACTCCCCAAATGATTATATGGCGTTTTAGTCTATTCAAATAATCTTGAAAGGTTGAGGGTGCAGCCCATATTAGAAACTATTTTGTTTATAAAGCTCCTACAGTATTCCTAGTAGCCATTTTAAAATGTATGTCTGAAATAGTTATGTAAGAAAAGCGTTTGAAATTTTTTTACAATATATATTGGGAATGTTTTCACTTATATAAATAACTACTGATAATATGACTTATGAAAAAAAATGATTACTACCATCTGTGAAATATAGTGACTTCTAAACAGATTAAAAAAAAAAATACAAAAACCTACAAACCCAGAAAATGTGTATATCTGTCTTTAGAAATTAGTGTTTATATCACTACCGTGATTTGTGAATAAAGAAAAATGGTTTGTAATATCAAAATAAAAGCTTAGTCTGAAAAGGTAAAAATATGTTGGTGTTCAAAATCATTTTGCTTTTCCTTTTTTTCCTCTTCGGACCGCAGAGCCGTCCTGAGCAGCACCAGCTGTGCTGTTAGGTGAGCAGGTGTGACCTGGCAGGGCTCCTGCTGGGAGCTGAGGAGTGCAGCAGCTGGGTGGGAGTGTGTGTATGTGTGAGGGTGGGGGGGGGGGGGGGTGCCCACGTGTGTGTGTGTGCTCATGTGTGTGCGTGCATGCTGGGGCTGGGGGGCAGTCACCTTGCAGCTGGCTCATGCTGGGTAGCTGCTTTTGTCACAGGGCAGAGTGATGAAACTCAGTATGGCAACTGGGCTGAATGTTACCCCTCAGATTTACTCAGTTTTAAGTGTATTTTTTTCAGGCAACAGCGCATGGGATGTGAAGAAAGACTGTGGTTTTTTTGTTGTTGTTGCCTTTTAAAATGACTGCATTTCAACAGGATATTTCTTATGTGAGAATCTCAGATATTCCATGGGCTGCCTCTGGCCTCTGAGGTGAAGCGGCTGTGGGGGCACAGGGGGCTGGGTCTGGTTTGTGTGTGTGTGTGTGTCTGTGTGTGTGTGTCTGTGTGTTTCACTCTTTGCTCTGCCAATGGAAGCTGGTGTGTTGGGCTCCCATTGCCTGCCCTTCTCATAGACATCTTATGTTCACATCCAAGTGCAGAGAAGAAAGGAAGGAAGGAAAGAATACTCTGCTCATCTTAAACGGACAGTGGTATTTCTGCTGTTCTACAAGGCTTCTGGTTGTCCCTCCCAGGTTTGTAGCCCTTAGGAACGACAACAACATCCGTGTAGGTCTGTGCTCACATTCAGGTCCAACAGCTGTGATGAAGCCGATGTGTTTCATCATACATGCTACAAGAATTGTTTCACTCCTCTGCCTGGGTTTCCATTATGTTGTGAATTAGGAGGAAAAAAGAAGACATAAAGATACAGGATTAAATACTGCGTTCTTTGCAGTTCACAGCAAGCTTTACTCTAAAACATATTTTGATCCTTCTGAGAAGGTGAAGAAATAGACCTCGATGTGTGCCAGCAGTGGTAGGGAGGTGTTATCTTATGCTTGCTTCATATCTTTGCACAAAATTTGAGCACTAAATGCTCAAGTATATGCCATGCACAAAGGATATATTGACAGTGCTTCCTTTGGTGGCTGGACAAAATGACAAAGGCGGTAATACTGAGAAAGAGTTGGGCAGAAGAAAGGTGAGAAGCGTGGGAATAGATAAGCAGGAGTGGGATGCACACACTGTGCCTGGAGCACCCTATAATTCATGCCACTGGATACAATTTAAAGCAGGAGCGCTTCCTTTCTTGGCCAAATAGGCAGCATGTGGTAAAGTAATGGAAATGTGTATTTATTGAGGAATTGGCTCAAGCATAAGCAGAATATCAAATGTAACAAAAACAAACAAAAGAAAAGCGATAAATTGTTAAAGGTATTTTTCCCAATTATTTGGAATTGCAGTGCAGCTGTCATTGCAGACCATGCAGCAAAGATCAGGTTTAATATTCTTATGAAGTCTCGGAATCACTTGGAATCTGAAGTGTGTCCTGCACTGCTCTTTGTCTTTAAGTGCATGCAGGCCATTTATTAGCTATGCATTTGAGTAAAGCATTGTTTTTCAGCTAGAATTTTCTTTTACTCCTTGGAAGAGCTACTTGTCTTCAGCGTGAACTGCTGTTGTGTTGCATTGCTCTTCCTTGTGTGATTTTTTTTGCCAGTTTGTCATGTTCTTTTTGCTGCCTTTTTTTTTTTTTTTTTTTTTTTTAAAAAAATTTTACAGTACAGATGCATGAGGAAAAAAAAGAGGTTGCACACAAGATTTCTTCTCTAAAGCAGAACTGAAATACCATTTTGGTAGGCAGAAGGGAGTGAAGAAAAGCAAAGAGCAACCTTGTTTCAGTTTGAAGGTAAGATTTGAGTGGGAGGTGAGATGAGAAGGGAGACAGTGATTTTGGGAGGTCTTTGAAGAATTTATGAAAGTATTATAAAAAAAAATATTGTTACCAGAATTATAAAAGTTTGCTGTAATGCTTTATTTCTTGCTAAAGGGCATAAGCTTCCTTTCACTGTAATGTGAGCTCTATTCCAAGTCTTTCTAGACTGGAACTTGAGTCTTTACAATACGTAACTTTACGTATACATAGTGATGGAGATGTTTGGCTTTTGTCTGAAACAGAATTTGTTTTCTGGAAGCTTTTATGACTCTCTATCACTTCCCTAGTGCTCAGCATAGCAAGAATTGTCTTGCAGCACTCTATGAAGAGCACATGAACAGGCTAGCATCAGAAAAAGCCCGTGAAGGCATTTTCTAAGAGGAAAAAGGCTAAAATCCACGAGCTAGTCTGTATTTTCATACGTGGAAAATAAAGGTTTTTATTTCATGCTGTTTTGTCTTTAAATGTGTGGATATGTACCCTATATCCGCACAATGGATGAATCTGATGCAGTGTCCATGTCGTGTGACAGTGAAGTGTTCCTTCTGTTTCCCATGAGGCAGGTTGATTTCTTGTGGGATCCTGTTTCCAAGAGGTTTATAGCTGAATAGCTGAGGAAAAGCTTGTTATGTTTAAAATAGTTTAGAATACTCCCGTCTGTTTCTCAGTACTGCATATGGACTAGTTTAGCCTGCTTCTGTTAGCTTTGATTTACCCATGTATTGCACTGGGAGCCTGCATGCCTGACCAATTTAATGATTCCATTGTTTAGCAAAAGACTTATAAGTCAGGAGTTCAGTAAATAGGAAAACTGTTAAATAAAACATAAACGAATGCAAAAATAGTCATTTAATGGACATTATGAAAGGACA